TTACAGGCTCTTACTACGCAGGCCAAATAAGAAGATTGCGAGAAGCTATTAAGTCAAAAAGACGCGGTAAACTGCGCGCTGGAGTGCTGTTTCACCAAGACAACGCCCCGGCTCACAAAGCCGCAGTTGCGATGGCTGCCATTGAAGAAACGGGGTTCGAACTGCTCGAACACCCTCCCTATTCGCCAGATCTAGCTCCCAGTGACTTCTACCTCTTTCCTCGGCTTAAAGAACACCTCCGGGGCAACAAATTTGAGGACAATAGTAAAGTGATGGCCGCAGTAGAGGCATTTTGGGAGGGTCAAGACAAAGAATTTTTTTCTAAGGGAATCATGGGCTTAGAAAAAAGATACACTAAATGTATTAACTTGCAATAAGACTATGTTGAAAAATAAAATACTTTTTTTAATCTAATAGTTCTGTTTCATATTGATTATCATTACTTATTGATCACCCCTCGTATGATTACTACTCGAAACATATTCACAGTCTCAAACATATACAGGTCATTCCAAGAAACCCTTGCTTTAGTAATTTCCTTTGAAATTGAACAGTATCAAAAACATCCAATTGAGTTTTTCATCATAATTGAAAAATTCGTTTTCAGAAAGTTTAAAGGTAACAACATTTTCGCCTTTTAATACTATCATGGTAATTGGTGAATTTACAAGATCTACATAATATATATTTATATTATTAGAATGATTCATTCATCAGAAGACTGAGGTAGTACGTATGTATGTTGAGCTGCGAGTGTGCACATTCAGCCAATTAAAACTGTACAACCTATATTTAAAAAATGTTAGTCAATAAAAAGTGTTTCGTACCAAAGAAATCTGAAAATGGTAGTATTTATAATGTCATTCATAAAAGCCGTGTGTGTTAAATACCTTTGACTAGATATTGCATTTCTGTTCATACATGTCGTATGTATGAACAGATATATGTATTAAATTATTTTAATAGCCTAATTTATGCATCAGCAAGACATGCTTCATGTCGTTCACGTCATTTACTGCCAACAAGATGAACAAATATGAAACTGAAATATATTCTGTTAGATTCTTCTTCAAAAGCAAAGTTTATCTTGACGTTCATCTTAATGAGTATAATTTTAGAAAGATCGTCATAGATGTCGAGCGATGTCACGAAAGACGCATCCACAATTGAAATAACCAGCTTATACAAAGCACTAGGAAAAAAATATACCTCTATTTTAGCAATATGGTGTTCCATTGTTTCACAGACAGAAATTTCATAGAATATCGTTTCGCAGAAATTGTTTCATATAATATGGTTTCTTGTATTTTTATTTCGAATATTTTTGTTTCAACGAGTATTTACTTGAATGAAACATATTTCACAGAAACACAATTCAATTCATTATATAATCTCATATTGTTATTTCACAGAATTATCAAATAGTGGATAATTAAGCCTTAACTAGCTGCTACCAGAAAAGTAGGTTAGGTTAAGTGAGAACTGCGACCCCACGAGAAAACGAATCGCCCTCAGAAATGAGTTGCGACCAGAATAGTAGGTTAGGTTAGAATTGCGACCCCAACACCAAGTGTTCTCAAAAATTGATTTTGAGAACGCGGCGTGCTAATTGTATAAGAGGATATTTTGACAAAAGTATGAATTGAAACTTACTCAACCTATAAGTTTTATCGTAGCTAAACAATATGAGGATTAAAAATATTTGAACTGTTATTCTGTGAAATGATAATATGAGATTTTTTTATGTGAAACGAAATTCTATAAAACTATTTTCTTTAAAACAATATACAACCATGGCACACCCTATGGTTTTAATTACTTTGATACACTTGCTCTATCGAAAACCCTAGTAAGGTAACGGTCCGAGGGCATTTCCATACGCACTAAAAAAGATTAAATGAATGTCAGTAAAAAAAGAACCTGACAATATAATAAATAAAATAAAAATAAAAAAGCCTGTATTTCCGTATCCTTAAATTCTATTTCAAATGTTGGTATTTGTTTGTTAGTGTTTAGTTAGTTATTCATGTTTTTGATGTTTCATTGACGATATATCATACCATAAATATAACAAAGAATTGTAAATGCTTATAAGTAATTCCATTTAAGGGCTAGGGCTTAGGGCTTTGTAAAAACAAATGTGATAATAAAACTCCTGTTTGATAATTCCACATAGTTTTCTAGATATTGAAAACTTGAAATTAATTAATTTACTCATTTCAAAAGGAGAAAAAAATTATTTAATAACTAATAGAATTAAACTCGAAAACTACACTATTTCATAGCACCCTTAGAACTACACGTAATAAGCATTTAATATGCTTCGTAAATGATTGTAGTTAATCAGGATAAATTGTTTTCGTTATTTCAGTTTTTGAATTAAAAAAAGTTTGATTAAAAACGAACATGTCCGGTTTTAAGGTCTCCGTCTGGACATAATGTGGATCGCCGGGAATCGAAAAGTGACATGAAGCTGAAGCTAGCCGACGAAGCTAGCCGACGGACATAGCCTGCGTAGTATATGGCACGCCCCTCAAATTGAGTTTTTTTTTAATGAACAAAGAGAGCAAACAGTCATTTTCCTGCATCAAATTACTATACAATGAACCAGGGCCTTTTAGGATTAAAAAAAATATTTAAACAATCATATTAAATGAATAAACGCTGTTTATTAGCGAAAACTCGAGTTTTTCGATGGTAAATTTGTCCTAACTTTTTTCACAAAAATAGGATTGCTTTATAATTTTGTATAGTTAATCCCTGAGTATCATACAATAACACAAAATTACATTTACGTTGGCAGAAAAGTTATAATTTGTATTATTAAATGAACAATCAGACATGACTTACGATAAATTGACCGATTCGACGAAAAACCTGATGTAACTCTGTTCACAACAATAGGATTGCTTCCTAATTTTGTATAGTTTATGCCTACGTATCGTACAATAATACTAATAGGTTTTACGTTGGCAGAAAACATACAATTTACACAATTAATGAGTAAACGAAAAGTAACTAACAAAAAATACTGAATTTCGATCAAAAACCTGCTGTAACTCGATTTACAAAAATAGGATTGCTTTCAAATTTTGTATAGTTAATGCCTAAGTATCATACAATAATACCAAATTACTTTTACGTTGGCAGAAAAGTTATAATTTTTATTATTAAATGAACAATCAGACACGACTTACGATAAATTGAACGATTCGACGAAAAATCTGATGTAACTCTGTTCACAACAATAGGATTGCTTCCTAATTTTGTATAGTTTATGCCTATGTATCGTGCAATAATACTAATTAGGTTTTACGTTGGCAGAAAAGTTATAATTTTTACTATTAAATGAACAATCAGACACGACTTACGATAAATATACCGATTCGACGAAAAACCTGATGTAACTCTGTTCACAACAATAGGATTGCTTCCTAATTTTGTATAGTTAATGGCTTAGTATCATACAATAATACGAAATTACTTTTACGTTGGCAGCAAACATAGAATTAACACAATTAATGACTAAACGTACGTAAATTGAACGATTCGACGAAAAACCTGATGTAACTCTGTTCACAACAATAGGATTGCTTTCAAAGTTTGTATAGTTAATGCCTAAGTATCATGCAATAATACCAAATTACTTTTACGTTGGCAGAAAAGTTATAATTTTTATTATTAAATGAACAATCAGACACGACTTACGATAAATTGGACGATTCGACTAAAAATCTGATATAACTCTGTTCACAACAATAGGATTGCTTTCAAATTTTGTATAGTTAATGCCTAAGTATCATACAATAATACCAAATTACTTTTACGTTGGCAGAAAAGTTATAATTTTTATTATTAAATGAACAATCAGACACGACTTACGATAAATTGGACGATTCGACTAAAAATCTGATATAACTCTGTTCACAACAATAGGATTGCTTTCAAATTTTGTATAGTTAATGCCTAAGTATCATACAATAATACCAAATTACTTTTACGTTGGCAGAAAAGTTATAATTTTTATTATTAAATGAACAATCAGACACGACTTACGATAAATTGAACGATTCGACGAAAAACCTGATATAACTCTGTTTACAACAATAGGATTGCTTCCTAATTTTGTATTGTTTGTCCCTAAGAGTCGTACAATAATACTAAATAGGTTTTACGTTGGCAGAAAACATACAATTTACACAATTAATGAGTAAACGTACGTAACTAACAAAAAATACTGAATTTCGATCAAAAACCTGCTGTAACTCGATTCACAAAAATAGGATTGCTTTCAAATTTTGTATAGTTAATGCCTAAGTATCATACAATAATACCAAATTACTTTTACGTTGGCAGAAAAGTTATAATTTTTATTATTAAATGAACAATCAGACACGACTTACGATAAATTGACCGATTCGACGAAAAACCTGATGTAACTCTGTTTACAACAATAGGATTGCGTCCTAATTTTGTATAGTTTATCCCTAAGAGTCGTACAATAATACTAAATAGGTTTTACGTTGGCAGAAAACATAGAATTAACACAATTAATGAGTAAACGTACGTAACTAACAAAAAATACTGAATTTCGATCAAAAACCTGCTGTAACTCGATTCACAAAAATAGGATTGCTTTATAATTTTGTATAGTTAATGCCTAAGTATCATACAATAATACCAAATTACTTTTACGTTGGCAGAAAAGTTATAATTTTTAGTATTAAATGAATTTTAGGGGCGTGCCATATACTACGCAGGCTATGTCCGTCGGCTAGCTCCGTCGGCTAGCTTCAGCTTCATAAAAGTGACTGCGTTTCCATAAAGTTTGTCGCATCAAAGCCAAGGGGACATAAAATGGAGATTTGTTTACCATCATATGGTTTAATGTGTAAAATCACACTTTGAGTAGCTATTTTAATGACGATGATGAGTTCTATTTATTATGTTCCCTTTACTCTTCTTGCAGAAAATGTAGATGAAATAAAATTATCACTAACCTGTATTTTGCCCTATGTGCGGTGTCGAATAGTTCACCCTCGAAGGGAGTGGTGATAAGGTAAGGAGGAGAGACGATGGGCTGTTGGGGCTGTGACAAAGCTTCTGGGCTTGGAGCGATCGCCACTGTGCCCAGGCGCTCGCAGGCCGCGCGCACCCTCTCGCACTCCAAACACGTCTCATTCACGTACACTATCGGAGTCGACGTGCCTGTCAAATAAATAAATGTTTAGAAATGTTAACAGTGTTTATTGGATTATTTTTAACAACCGTTTTTTACCCAATGACATGACTGATCAATCTAAACGGAGTATTTATTTTATGACATTTTGAAGTAGCTTCCGTAACACAAATTTATTTTTCTTGATTTAATGAAGTAGCATTTTAACTTCTTTTTTTCACAAGTGTGTGAAAACCCTAGTTCGAATGCCACTGATAAGTTTGAAAACGAAAATATCAACACAGGTTGAAACTAGAAGGAATGCCTAGGTATAGACAGTGGTTTGAATATATTTACGTCTCAACAACCAATGTATTGCTATTATCTAAAGCTATTAAGCGCCAACGCTGTAACGCACCGGAGTTAGCTGCCGTTTCTGTGCAGGGTTTTCTTAAAAAGAAAGACGACTTTAAAACCTGGGTCAGTATTGATGTAAATTGTTACAATAAGATACATCGCTACCAAATACGGTATGACACCCATGATGAGTACATGATAATGAATGGGGATTTAATAAAATATTTCTTGAACACCATTATGGAAAAAAAAGGTATATACTTAATAATTCGCTTAAGGCAGTCTTGAGATATAAGCTCAATTTATCTGATTACGACAAATCTCCTTGAAAAGAAACAGATGCTGACAACCAGCGCTTCCTTTGATCCTTCGAGAATTCGCTGTAGAGGTATGCAGATCAATTTTCAAATCTTGTAAACATCGGTCATCGCCACACATTATTGTTATTTCTGTTACAGTTTAACGTTCAACTGTCAAGTAAATTATGGTCTGACGAAACAATAAACTAAAGCGCTGATGTTATTTAAGTTAAAAGAAAAATCATGTTAAGATCTTTGATAGACCAACCTAACACTATAAAACTACTATACTATAAATGGCGTGCTATATTGGTCTATCGTACCCTAGGAACCATAATTATGAGCTAGATTTCTATATGTATTGTTACAAGTTCTTGGAAATAACATGTAACTTTCCGGGATATGTAATTTTTAATGCAAAATTAATGGTTCAGGGCAGACAGGACGCTCTTGCACACTCGGGAACACCCGGCACTCTGGGCATGCAATACCAGTTAACACATAATGCTGTTGCCAGTACCTAGATTTAGAAGTATAGTAAATAGGTTGCATGTATCTCACAATAATTTAAAACCACACAGTCAAAACAACTGATTGCCGTGTAACTTGAGAGTGATAAGTGATAATGTTATCTAATATGCGATGAACTGATGACAGCAATTCTTCAAGATATCAGTAGGATATTATTAAAATCAACAACTATTTGGTATGGAAACCATGCAGAAATTTTATTCTACATGTACTTGTTATTTATATGTTACAAAAATATGTATTGAAAGCAAAAACACGAGAAATATTACTATGACACTGGTAAGAAGCAGTGTTAGATAAGTAGGTATGTAGGTATGAGCTAAATAATTACAGTTTTTGTCAAAATCATTTTCATTTGTTTATTGTATCGGATGCCAAGACATTTATGAGTTTCTCTAGGGCTTTTAAACATCTAGACCGCTGAACGGAATCGGGAGAGGGTCGATCCCGAGCGTAGAAGACGTCGGCGGCGTTAGCAGCCGTCGACGGGGCCGCAGGCTGCCAGTGAGGGACCTCTGGTGGCAGTTTAACTGCTGCGGTAGGCGATAGGATGGCGGCCTAGAAAATGCGATAGGGAAGCAACATATTGCAAGAATTGGCCGATAGGCAGGGGAAGCCTTCTTTCCCCGGGATAGGGCCTGGATCCGGGGGGGACCTGAAATAACATGATCCCAGTCCTCCACAAGGCAGGGCGCCTGAGACCGGCTGTCGGGGTGGTTTTTAGTGGAAACACCACATACTCCTGGCTCCGCTGTCCGTCGCAAACTGTTACAAGGCCAACGACTTGCACTGATATTCTTGTGCATGGCTTATAGGACGGTTAGCACTGAGGCTTTGCCGGTGTTGGCGGGTGTGCTTCCAGTCGATCTCGAGGTGCAGAGACGTGCAGCCATGTACTATTCAAGACAACAAAACATGGAATGCGATTTTTTGGGCGCGCGGGATCGCGGTAAAATTACAAGATTGCTTCAACAGCAGTCCGATGTCTATAATGACCTCATAGACGAATGGCAACAACGCTGGGATAAATCATCCAAGGGGCGCCATCTTTACCAATTCTTTCCATCTGTTCGCGAACGGTTATCGAGGACATGGCTTGAGGTGGATCACTGTGTCGCTCAATTTCTTACGGGTCATGATAACTTTAAGAGCAAGCTTTATTCATTTAAATTAGTCGAGTCACCATTGTGTCAATGCTCAACACCTAACTCTCACTATGAACAGTCTGCTCATCATATCCTCTGGGGATGTTGTTTTTGGTATAATGAACGTAATATAATGCTGAATAGCTTGCAGGTGGCATCTGGGGCGGTATACTATGGGGATCTTGTGTCAACTAGGGTGAATTTCCGTGCGTTTAGGCGATTCTGCCATACATATTATAGAAATCAAATATAGCTCACGTAGGACCCGTAATATTTTGTGGCCGTGGTGCTTCCCTGTTTAAAAGGGTGTATGCCCATTTTACTTCATTTTGTCTCCCGCTTTGCTAAGGAGGGAAGTGGATTTACTGTATTTCCAACTCCTCCAATTTTCTTCTGATTAATTTCGTTGCGGGTTTCAAGACAGTTTAATTTCTGCCTGGGACTTAACGAGTGTCATAACTCGGTGTGTTCGTGGGTCACTGCTGTGGATCCTGGTGTACCTGTACACCAGGACCCACCCACAGTTACACAGTTACAGTGGTGGGCGTGTGGGTGGGATTAGTCCCAATACTCCTGGCTCCTGCGTCCCCGAAAAGTCGGAGTACTGACGGGATTTTCCACCCCGTCAATAAATAAAAAAAAAAAAAAGGGCTTTTAAACAACAACCAAAAACCTTTTTTTCCTGACTCCTCCGCCTTCACTACAGATCTTCTTATAACAAATAAAACATTCAACGACAAAAATTCATCATAATTATATTCCAATCTAGTATCAACTAAAGATTAAATGGCCGCGCGTATGAATGTCCGATATAAATAAAAATCTTTCTGAGTAGATGGATAGCCTGTTTATCGATGTTAGTTATAATCTGTAAAAAAATATGATTGCGGCTTAAATTCGACCACAGAGCTACGAGCAACGGATAATTGAATATATTACATCGGTATAATTTATGGCCATAGAATTATTTCTAAATTTTTTAACGACACTAAAAATCAGTATCAAAGTGTTATAAACAATAATGTACAGTTTCGGCGATATGATTGATGATAGTAGGTAGTATAGTTGTGAACACGCCATGCTACAAACGCAAACGCAATCGCACTCACATCCTCCACCGAGGTACGACCGCAGTTGTTCTACCAACGCTAGCATAGTTGGCGTGCGTGCCGCAAACCACGGTTTACGCCATCTGCAAAAGCAGTGCTCTTCAAGAACTTTAAGCGAAGGGGTATTGAGTCTCTTGTTGAGTCGACGTCAATAAACTAAACATACACCAAAGCAAACATGGAATACCAGACTGATGCTTTTTTATACAAACAGACTCTATTTCATATATCCTGTTCACTGTAGATATTAAGATAGGATGTCACTTTTCCTAATTTTTTGTTATAATGAACAACCGAGTACTTGATGGTAAATAAAACCAATTGACTGTGTTGTTACCATGTTAATCAATTTTAGGTGAATTCTTGTATTTACTTCTTACACCAAATCATAAGAATATGGTGTTTATAATTACGGGCAGAATGGTTGTCCTATACTTAATTACAGTTGATACTCACTATTATATATGTACATGTACTAAATGTTTTCAAATATTTTTTTAATTTTAGTCATTTCAGATAGCAGTTGCAATATTTATTATGTAATATAGTTTGGATTTCAATTTATCAGTAGCAAAGCTTTTTCCAACTTTGTGATACTGAAAACTTGTGACCAGAATATCAATTGTTTCTTAGTCATTTAAATATTCTCATTCTCAGTTCAATCTATAAATATTTTATGATGTCTATTAATGTTCAATTACAAAGTAAATAATAAACACAATGTGTACCTGAAACTGGCAAACATTAGCAGCAACATTTTATTTAAAAGATATATTTTTATTACACTCCACAATTACTAATGTTGTCTATGACCAGGAGATACCCAATCAGCCAGTATGTAAGGTCAGCCATGTAATACCAACAGTAAATCAGTGATACCATTGAGTCATATGACACAGTGACAGATTCAAAGAATAATGGCAAGATCACAGTGTGGTCCAAGTTAGTAAGAATTCGTCGGTTGTTGTTCCTAAATGGATATGTTGTTGACATGGTACTACTACTCATTGACTAATCACACAATTTTGCAAAGCAAATTATTACTTGAAAATTCTGCTGCCAAATATATCTGTTTATCAAATGAATGCTAAATTTCTCAAGGTTATCTCTACTAAGGTCAAGACTCTTAGAAACATTTCAAGCGATATACTTAAACTTTATATTGGGCTTGTTTAACTTCCATTATGATCAAGGTATATACAATTTTGCAAGGGGAGTGAAATAAGGTTGGCCATATGCATGTGTTACATTAATGTAGGTTGCAAATTATCCTGATATTTAAACAGTTCAAATGCAACCTTGAAAATCAATAAAGCCTGTTTTCAATTCTTCTTATTTTACTATAATATATTTGATATGAAGTGAGGATATGCATAAAAATATTTTCTAACCTTGCTGTTTCCATAAGCAGTTGCAACTTCATTACTTTTCATTTTATGCTATACACACAACTATGATAGTGGGAAACAGATTCTAAAAAACTTGATTATTATTAATATTAATAGGGTCAGGTAACTATAATATAAAACAATAAATTAAGGCATTTTTTAACTGTGGCAGTTTAAATTATATGGATTATTCAGTTTCTAATTTAGTAGGCTTAGAATAGCTGGCCAAATTTCACGTATGTAGGTAGCATTAACTGCAATAACCTTTGCCTTCAAATGCCTTCCTCCTGACCTACCTGTACTTTTCCAAAAAAAAAAAAGTATATATGTATTTATATCAGTTGTCTAGTACCCATAGTACAAGCTCTGCTTAGTTTGGGACTAGATGGCGTTGTATGTAGGTGGTAGAATATATTATTATTATTATTATATTATTATGTGAGTTGGACTAAATTGTAGTAGTCAAAATGTGGGCATATAAAGTGCTATATTTATTAAATTCAACATGAATTAAATTTAATTGCCTTAAAGATTAGGCAGAGTCACTACTCTGCCTCCTCTTTCGGTAATACAGGCAATTCAATTTATTGCATTCCATAATGTACATTTATAATTATGGACGTTGTCGGGCACAGCATCAGGAGAGCAGAGCAGCTGTTTAGTTCCTTTATTTTAAAAGTGAAGTTTTGATACCATATTTTATAAATTAATGAGTGAGTATGTATTTATCTCTGATCTTAAAGTCAATTTAGTAATTAAATGATTTAAAGAACCTATAGGTAATAATTTAGAGCATTTTTACCTTGCATGTATGTTTGTAACAACCTTTGTAATATTAGTTAACTACAGGATTTAAAAACTATTAATAAATAGAAGCTGTCACTTGTAAAAGAAAACAGACACCATAATATAATGGGCTGCAATAAGTTGCAATTAAAAATAAAAAAAATAAAAGTTATTCTGAATAAATCTATGTTCCCCCTGCTTACATTAGGGTGTTATAATTAAAAAATTAGTTAGGATAAAAATAAAAATTTAACTAAGTACACCAAAAATGTTTTTTTTTTGGAAATTATAAAGCCTTAAGCATTAAATTTTATAAAACATATTCGAATTACAAAATGTTCCTGTTGTAAAATACATTTTTGCAAAAGTACTGGTGTATTTCAAAAAATAAACAGGAAACATACTTAATATTATTAATACATATAAACTGCAGTTAATAAATTATTTGAAAAACAGGGTTGATTTTTAACGAATAATCTTTTACTACACCTAGTAGCAAAATTAGGGCTAGGTACAGCAACCATACTATGATTTCAAATACAATTTTAACTTTCTTTTTACTTGCGTTAATATATATAATAGAATTTTGAAACTACAATTACAATTCAAACACAAATATTCAAACATAAAAATTTATTTGGAAATTTCGGTTATTGTTTACCATTATACTGAAGGACATGTGTATGAATTTTGAACACATCTAGATGTTAAAAGAGTTAAATATCTTATTATACTGTAATAAGTTGGTATATTTACCATCATCATTTTCTTGAATTTTGTCAGTTATAGCGGTGTTTCCTGTTTGTGTCATGCCCTTAGACAATTCGTCCATCTTGCCGTACACTGGTTCGTTACATCAATCATTAAAATCACAACACTAATTATAATAATCTAAAGAAACACACATTGTATCATAATTCACTATAATTAAAACTCAGTCTCTTTTGAAAATAATAAGTTTTATCCATTTCAAGCACATTTCTGGATACTCAGTATGAAAACCTATGAATACGAACCAAATTGAAGTCCGTCAGACAAACCATAAAGAATAGACTTTAAAAAAGCTTTCATTTTGACTTTGACTACTCTCTACCTTTGGATTTATGGTCTCAAGTTAATACCATCAACGGATAGAATGATGCTACTACACAATATACTCGTATGTATTTTTACTTGTTGAACTTAAGAGTATAAGGAATGTCACCACCCCTATTCACCCCGTGAGTGTCGTAAGAGCCGACTAAGGGAACAAACTTAGCAGGACAACAGCACTGCAAAGAGAAGGAAAACTTGAAACAAACCCTATACTAACCCATCTGGCTAGCGTGGTATAGTAGGCCAAACCCTCGTTTCTAAGGAAAGGCCTGTATTCAGCAGTGGACTAGTAAAGGCTTTGATGATGATGATGATGATGACGGACTCAAGAGAAGATTCTCCATTCGATTGTATTTGTATTTCCATGTAATTTGTAACTGACAAGCAAACAGCCAAAATTAATAAACATAATAGTTAGGTAATAGGTAAAATAGAGATATAAGCCCAAATCTTGCAATATATGCAAGGAGCAGGGCCGCCGGATACGTGTGTGCAGAGCATGCACTGCACACGGGTGCCAAAACAGAAATCAAAACGAAAACGATACATTCTCATAATTTGCATGTCTAATATATCTTTATTATGCAAAATAGTAAGATCTGCTGATCGGTTTACGAAAATAAATGTAATTACTCAAGACACGGGCACAGGATTCCCAAATATCCCATACGGGGCAATAGTTTTATGTTTGGGAAATTATGGGGAGGCTTAATTCTTGCACGCCGTTATTGCGTCGGTAAAACCCGTTACGGAAGATTGGCTCAAGAGGAAAAACGGGACTTTCCAAAACCTGCTGATGCAAAGGATGCATTGGAGACCTCCTGTGTCTGATCCACAAGGGGCCAACTCTTGGGTGCCACCACTGTGTTGGCCAGTACGTGGACACGTGGCCCGGCGTGTATGGAGCAAGGCATGAAATCGTAACTGCTTGGGGCCTTGGTACGGAGCGAGCATGCGTAGAACTCCGCTAATTCCTTCTGCGAGCAAATTATGCTCCTCCTTCTCCCGGCTTGCCAGGTCCGGGAACAGACCAGGAATCGCAAGCGGCTCAAGCGCTGGAGGTCGCTAAACGATATCCGTCCTCCATAAGTGCAGGCCTGGGGGTGACAGGTGCCGATGCGACACGCTCTGGAGCACCACACACGAGGGGGCCATCTGTAAGTCAAAGATGACTCGGGGTCCGTCGGGGTATGAAGGAAATACTTTCTAGGTTACACCTAGTTCCCCATCTACTACCCGAGATGTGCGGTTTTAAGGCCAGCGCTAACTGTCATCGTGGCAAGGCGGCTTGGTAAAGGATTTCATTTCTGATCAAGTTCTTATGATCCTTATTTGTGTTTAGAATTCATATTACTTAATTTCGATAAAAATTTACCTCGTCGTATAATTATATGTTGGCATACCGCGCGTCACCATGGCATGTCGCCGGAGGATGAAAAGAACTTCATTAGAAATAAAATTCATGGCCACGTATCCGAAGGGCGATTTCTGCACGGAAAAAAAAAACCGGTCAGGTACGAGTCGAACTCGGGCGCCGACGGTTCCGTACCTACCCGGATTTTACGTAGATTTTCGCGAAAATTTGTAAGTACCAAAATTTTTCTTAATTTTCAACTTTTTTATTTTTTGGAATTATTCCTTTATTTATGCTGTAAGATATTTCTTTTTGCCAAATTTGGTGATTCTAGGTCAACGCGAACTACCATATAGGTTTTCGACCCAAAACCTATAGGGTACTTCCGGTTGACTTAGAATTGTCAATTTTGGTTAAAATCAAGGTCTTACAGCGCAAGTAAAGAGAAGATTCTGAAAAATAAAAAAAGTTGAAAATTAACGTCAATTTTGGTACTTACAAGTTTTCGCGAAAATCGAAATTTGCCCATATCTTTTTATCGTGTTGACTCAGGACCTTGGTTTTTATACACCAAATAGGGGCCATAGACCTCAGTAGCTGGTAAAAATTTCAACTTTCTAAGTCTACCTGTTCCTGAGAAAATCGGTAGTTCACACACGGACAGACGGATAAGAGTGATCTGAAAAGGGATCCTTTTTACCTTTTGAGGTACGGAACCCTAAAAAGGGCAATGTGGCAGTGGATAGGCTATCGTGAAGTAGGCATGATTTTGATCGTAGAACATGGGGGATTATAAATTTCCTTTGATAACCACAGAACTTGACTAGAAAGAGATAGAAAGTTCCCTCTATCTCTTTCATTTTCATGCCTACTTCACGATAGCCTATCGTAGCTTAGCTTAACAGGGATAGAGGGAACTTTTTTATGTTTTGTTATTTATCTCTCTTGTTGCTTGTATCGCTTCCACTAACCGGCAGCTGTACCCCGTATTCTCTATATGCTTGGTTTTATGAAATAACTAATACTAAGGCTTTGACACTCCTCTTGTTATTATAAGTTTCAATGTAGGAATCATTATTTAAAATAAAAAGAGAAAAAAAAGAATAAGAGTTCGGTCACAATTCAGTTCCGATCATACAACTGTCATAAAAGTTATTTTCGTAGTAAAGTATTTAACATCCAATGTTGACTCGAATGTGATTATTTCGTGAAATAATCGAAAGTTGAATCGATTATCTGCTAGTCTTAGAAATACTTTACTATTTTAGTAAGAAAATGCCTTTTATGACAGTTGCGAGATCGAGAGTTTATTACTATAATTGGCCTGAGTTTTTTTTAGAAATAGACTAATAAAGTCTCAAACTAGTATACTAAATCATTCTAATAGATTAAACATTACAATAATTAATTACTTGACATACTATTTTAATTATTTTATAACTTTATGCACTTCTATAGATCGGCGGACCTAACGCCCCGTGCATTCTCTTCCAGCCAACTTTTGGCTTGTGTAGAAATCTGGTAGGGTAAAAAAAAAAGATTTCTATCGATTAAAAAAAAAATATGTATATGCATTATTTTATACAAACAAAATGTACAACTTAAATATATTAGTAATACGAATTACATATAAATTTTAAGGTGATGCCAATATTTCTACACTAAAAACTTCAACAAATAATTCAGTTGAGATTTTGCAATAATAAAGAGAGTCTATTACGCTAGTAGGTATACTGTATGGTTGCATATAATATACTTAACTTCAATACATACAAAATTTCTTAACAGAATACAATTTGAAAAAACGACAAAAACAATCAAATCAAAATCGTGAAAGTTACTTGACGCTAGGCCCTAGTCAGTCATTTAGACTTAAATTACTATAAACAGACTAGTGAATTTAAGAAAACCAAAACTTCTTCTGTCCTTATCGCACTTACAACAGCATCCGTACGCGCCGTCCTTCTATTTTTGAAAATATCGGATATTTGGCACTGAACTAGAACAGGCTGAACAAGTAAGGGGAGAGGGGCTTGTCATCTTTGTGTATTTATATTTTTAACAATATTTTTTTATATCTAATCTGTGATTCAATTCAAAAGTAAAGTCTGTGTTGTTCCCAGACAATAGAATTTTGATAAGACTTTAAAAAACTATATTTGCATAATGATAAAACAATGCAATGGGCTAAGACGTTAGCCTTCTATTAAAAGTATCGCCGCATATGTTAGTATAATAGTAGTATTTGATTTAAAGTAACAGTAACAGAATGGAACATTTTGGCCTCTCTCACATACTGCTCGAGCCAGATAAATATAATCCCGATACTTTGGACTTGTTGTCTGATGAAGAAGCCCGAGAATACTGGCTAAATACCTGTGAAAAACTGACTGAAAAATATGTTAATTTTGCGCTATCCAACAACGAAGACCCTACGGTAGAAATACGTGCTCTTAAATTCAAAACTTGCTATGTCGAAGCATTAAAAGAGCTCAGAACTAACCCACTGTAAGTATTTGATATCAATATAATCATATCCTTATTAGATTCATGATTTTATCGTTATATGTTTTGTGATCAATTACTAATGACTACTAGTCCTGTTATTAATTTAAAAAAAGTTATTTAAATTGTAATATGGTGAAGCCATTATTAAATTATTACTAACTTTATTGTCTCAGGGCTCACGGGCAGTTGACCATACGATTACTTCTTGACATCAACGAAACATGCCTTCGTTCTCAGGGTTTTTTTGATTTATGGAAACAACAGAAGAAATATGAAAATGAAAGTGCATTGGTCACTCTTGCACCACGCTTAGCAGAACTTGATGCCCTACATAGCACAAGAGACAGATGGACCGAACTCTGCAGGGGAGTACTTGCTGGTAAAAATTCTGCATTAATTTTACTTTTTAGACAATTATTAAAAAGTTAAATATTTTTTCAGTTCCAATATTTGTCTGATTTTACAGTTGAGACTTCTACACCCCACCACATCAATATTAAACTATGACTTTAATATTGATGTGGTGAGAACAAAAGACTTCTTTTATGAAATATAGTGCAAACAAACAAATGAGTCACCTGATGGTAAGTGACTATCACCTCCCATAGACATCTGCATAGACAGTCACAGGAGTGATGCCACCCTTTGAGTGCCTCTTCCTCCCTGGAAACTAAAGGGGGGGGGGGGCTGTAGAGTTAGTTTCTGGTTACCTCATGCCTTCATTGGATGCCTCTTTAATTGTGGCTGTGCAATGTCTGATTACAGATAATGAATCCTTAATGTGGTAATGGTTTGTATTTCCATATTTAAATTCAATATAAATTTGTTTACATTTTGCTGAAGGTAATATGTTTGATTGGGGAGCTCAAGCTGTAACCAGTATTCTTGACCATGGATTGTATGAAGCTTTAGAAAAAATACAAAAGAGGCCATGGCTATACGATGGATTAGAGAAATGGCTTGACAAGTTAGAGGTATGATTCAAAATTACAATTGATAACTAAAACTACATGTTTGGGCAAGTCTTGTTCCCTGGAGCAAGATGTGGTTGCCTGCATGTTTGTAGAAGTAGGTGTATGTGTTTTATATTATATGTATATTATGCTAGGTATAAATCCTGGAAGCAAAGGATTAATTCAATGAAGATGCTTGAAAACACATCTTTTTCCTTTATTTATGTATTTTTATTTATTTACACTTTATGCACAAATGTGTCAAAGGCAGACTTAATTCCATAGGCATTTTCTCCCAGTCAACCTTAGGGTGATGCAGAACTAAAACAAGATAGATGCACATGAGAAATTAAAAATGTGATTTAATGAAAAATATAGCATAATATATATAGGATATCATATACCCAGAGTACTTTTTAATAGATAATACATATATATAAGTGATAATAATACTAACACATGTATAGGTGCATATGTATATAAGAATACATACACCCATACACATATATTATATATATATCCCCATAGTAGATTCTAGAAGAGAAAGTATAAAAAAATAATAATTTTATTTGTGTTAAAATTGAAAATGAGAGTATTGTTCCCTTATAGTTTTAAAATAAATTTGTATTATGCTAGAACAATTCAAATAAAATTCACCATTGTTACAGAAAACTGTTCATCATTGTGCTGCAGTATTTGTTGATAATAGTGGAGTTGACATAGTCCTTGGTATTTTGCCATTTGTTAGAGCATTATTACTAAGAGGGACCTCAGTCATATTATGTGCTAATGAGTGGCCAGCATTGAATGATGTCACTAATGTTGAATTAGAAGAAATAGTGCAGCAAGCTTCACATGTCTGTCCTGTTATCTTAGCAGCACTCTCTACAGGAGATTTAGTAGTAAGATCAAGTGGACAAAGAGGGCCATGTTTGGACCTTAGGACTATTAGTGTAGGTCAGTAGTAAAAATATTACTATAAACGTTATTCAGAGGAAGTATAAACGGGGCCAGTTTCCAAAATTGTTGAAGACGGGGAAGCTGGTCTTCATCCGAAAGGAGGGGCACCCGGCGGACTCACCATCCGCCTACCGGGCCCATAGTGTAGCTTGACGAGGTGTGCAAGCTCTTTGAGAGAGTGATTGCATAGTGTCTCCTCAAGCACCTCGTCAGAGTGCGAGACAACCAGTATGGTTTCCGTCGTAAATCATCGACACCTTTTACTTGTGCATGGTTTACGAATATAAAAAAAATCACACCATTGAAGTTTTATTAAATTTCATCCATATTTCATCTCACTTCTCAGCTAAGTAATCATTACACCGAAGTAACAGCTTTAGATAAAAGCAGGTTTTATAATTAAATAGAATGTAATCTGCTAAATAGAATGTTTGACTGCACGGATGGCGTAGTGGTTTAAGCGGTCGCCACGCCGCTTCCTACTGCGCCGAGTGTTGTGGGTTCAAACCCCACATGGGACGACACTTTGTGTGATCCACAAATTGTTGTTCTGAGTCTGGGTGTTCTTTGTGTCCGTTTCATGTATGTTTGTAAAGTCCCCCGCGACACAGGATTTATTCCTAATGCGGGCGTTGTCTTTTTAAAGAAAAAGTAAAAAAAAAAGTAAAAAAAAAATCTAAATTTTGAAAATGACAGTAATCTCGTTTGTGTTGATATGACGCCCAGGATGAACTCTTATACATGATCCTGATTCTGAAAATCAACATTAACCAAGTTTTATTCGTCCGTAAAGGAGTAAAAAGAATTTTCTTTACATATATTTATTATATTTTAAAATTGATGTTTTTCACAGGTTTGTGCGCGGAAATGAAGGTTCGCGGCGTGGATTTAATCATTTTAGAAGGCATGGGTAGAGCTCTACACACAAATCTCAATGCTCGCCTTGCTGTAGATTCATTAAAGATGGCAGTAGTCAAAAATGCATGGTTGGCTCAGAGACTTGGAGGGCCACTTTTTTCAGTGATTTTCATTTATGAAGAGAAACAAGTAGAAAATTAACAGATTAACAAATACGGTTTAACTGCATAATTGGACTGTCCAGTATTCATATAGAATTTGTAATACTTTGATCTTTTGACAGCCATTTCTACTAGTAGGCTCTGTAATTTAATGTACATTCGTATTTTAGAATGTTCAACCCTGTGTTATTTTCTTGATAGTGATTTTCGGAATATATTGAGTGTTATCTTGATATCGAGTTTCATTTTTACCTTATGGTTGGAGGTATTCGCTGATGATTTCCTTAATGAAGATGCTTTACTGACTGTCGAAGAAACCGTTGACCAGTAGTTTTTTTAATTTGGTGACACTAGTAGAGAAAATATCGATATCAACACTCCGGCATGCTGCATTGTACATGCGACTGGCTCTGATCAGGTATGAGTTTTGCCTGTAGTTAGAATCTAAACGGGAACATGCAACAAGTTAAATCGTCGAAAATGCGCTGTCGCGAAAGGACAGCCAGTAAAAAAAAACTGTCATCTTACGGCAAATGATCTTTTAAACATTTTTTATTATTAAAACAAACGTCTAAGACCAACTTTTAGACCCAAAATGGATCTCCGGAAATCATAAAATGAGCATTTACATTTATATATCAATTAACTATTTCTGAATAATTAAAAACCTAAACAACGCAAGACCATCGAAATGAGACCTGCGGAATTATAACATAACAACGCAAGACCAATGAAATGAGACCTGCGGAATTATAACATACTAGCTGACCCTGCAAACGTTGTTTTGCTATTTACATTACCTATTTAAGCATTTTTTTTTTATTTCTTAAAATCCTTTCTTAGCTGACCTCTACTCGGTGAAAAGAATATTCCTACCAAATTTGTGTGCGTTACCCCAGCAAAATAATGTCGAAAATGGTCATTTAAACTTTATAGATAATTAGTTGCTCCCCTTCTGTAATTGTTAGGCACATTTTTTAATTTGTTTCACATAAACTTTTTTAGTTATTTCAAAAAAACATTTCCTGCTGGGGTAACGTTTGAAACGTTACCGCAGCCAGACATTTTCTTTTTTAATTGTAATATTGAAATAAATTTTAGCTAGATAATTAGTTATCTGGACTAGGTAAATGTTACAACTTATTTGGTATTTGTATTTTCTTCGGCTGCGAAGTTATTCGAAATCCTGCTGGAGTAACGTTTGTGGGTTTGCCGGATCTCTGAAACGGGTAAGCGGATTGTAACCATCTTTTGTACATAACTTCTTAAGGATTAGTTTTAATTTGTTCGACAATAAAATAACAAAAATAATGGACCGTTTAAAAATTATTTAGGTAAGTATGAAAACACTTCAATACGTCCTAACACTTTAAATAAGACCTCTAAAGACTTACTTCAAACCTTATTCTATTGCTTGTAACTACCTTCAAATGTATCCGAATTTTCGTAAGAATTCTATAAGTGACTAAAAATTTATGATGGAATGTAGCTCTCCACGTTTACGATCACAATGTGTGCGGCCTTTTTTGGCCACCGATAAACCTGTGTGTGGATATATAAACTGAATGTTATGCCAATAATTAGTTGTTTAGTTCAGTTGTCTATCTGTAGAATTTCAGCGTAGTACATATAATAATTTACGAGATAATTAAATAAAAGTCATTAGAAGGTGCAAGTCCGTGGTAATCCGACCATGTTTAGGTGGTTACAAAAAAGCGATCACCCAGTACATTGCGCTGTCTTTTAAAATGTTTAGTATAATACACCTTACGATTTCGGTACAGTTGCGTACAGTGTTAAATACATTCAATATTTATTCATTTTTAATATTTTTTTTCCCTAATTGATCTTAAGCACTAGTTTCTTTACTTAAAATTTCTTTAGTCTTTTTTACTACCGGAGCTACAATCAGCAGAAAATCTGCACTGGTCCGCTAAAATTATAAATATGTAGATACATGTATAAACGATTCACCTGACTGCAATAAATCGAAAATTTAAACCAATAAGAAATCGTTTCATTTCTTTGATTTTTTTTTGTAAAGAAATAACATTAAAGTAATTGTATTTTATTTTGGGGTGTATAGAGCTTAGACTTGAATGCATCAAAATATTTATAGCAACAAGTCATCTACAATAAGTTAAAATAGACCGAATAGTAGAAGAATACAGTTGTAAATTAGAATGCATCAACATTGCATCGCCCAACAGTCGTATACCTCGTAAGAGTAGGTTATTACCTACTCTGTGGTCTATACCGAGAACCGAGAATTATCTATACCTATGTACCTACCGTTAAGCGTTGAGCCCGTGACTGTTGATTTCTGTTAAAAACGAACAGTTGTTGAATGATATTTTGATATAATAACGGTAATTTAACTTGTCGAGTGAAAGTGATACATTTTTAAAGATAAAATTATTGGTCATATAATATTTGTCAATCAAGAATCGCTGATAATACATCCTTCGCTAGAACGCGGAAGGGGAGGGGCGAAGGGATACTTCATTGTTTGCAATTTGCATCTAGTGCACTAAACTTGACCCTTAGGCAGATAATATACGTCTTGTAAAGTACGTGTGCGCTTCCGCTTTCTATTTTTGCAAATATTTATCGTATTCTTGAGAGTTCTTCAATATGTGTGTACCTAATTACTAATAATGGGCATTAATGCTAATTCGATTCAATTTAAGTAATTGTCAATTCTTGTCTTAGGATATTAAATTACTAATGCTAATATTGAAATTTCGTTCAGGGTGAACAAATTAAAAACGATCATAACTTGTAGGTAGGTATATCACTTATTACTAATTTTACATAAATAATTTATTTTATTATAATTTAACTCACCGCGATTTTGTGATCAAATATTTTATTTTCTCCAACATTATTACAGAAATATTGCAATACAGAGTTTGTTCGCGATATGCTAGCTTAAGTCGATTCATCACTTAAAAAAATCCCCATCTATTCACAAAATACCTATTTACAACGCATACGTTACACTCTTCAAAACTTAAATTACCTATACCTACCCTAAAATTAAACTTCAATTAACAAATACTACGCAGTTACCAATTCTATGAACAACTATAAACAATTCACCTAAACATTACGAGAAAACAAAAGCATTCAAAACAATACCTAATCTCCCGGCTGATTACTAATTATGCAATAAACAATCCTAAATAATATTATATATATCCTAAATAATAAATTATTTAAAAAACATGTAGTTTTTTGTAACACTTATGTACATATCCGTAGTAAACTTGCAAATAATATCCTAAATATTTTAAAAGCCAGCACAATGTACTGGGTGATCGCTTTTTTGTAACCACCTAAACATGGTCGGGTTACCACGGTCTTGCACCTTCTAATGACTTTTATTTAATTATCTCGTAAATTATTATATGTACTACGCTGAAATTTTACAGGTAGACAACTGAACTAAACAACTAATTATTGGCATAACATTCAGTTTATATATCCACACACAGGTTTATCGGTGGCCAAAAAAGGCCGCACACATTGTGATCGTGAACGTGGAGAGCTATATTTCATCATAACTTTTTAGTCACTTACAGTATTCTTACGAAAATTCGTATACATTTGAAGGTAGTTACAAGCAATAGAATAACGTTTGAAGTAAGTCTTTAGAGGTCTTATTTAAAGTGTTAGGACGTATTGAAGTGTTTTCATACTTACCTAAATAATTTTTAAACGGTCTATTATTTTTGTTATTTTATTGTCGAACAAATTAAAACTAATCCTTAAGAAGTTATGTACAAAAGATGGTTACAATCCGCTTACCCGTTTCAGAGATCCAGCAAACCCACAAACGTTACTCCAGCAGGATTTCGAATAACTTCGCAGCCGAAGAAAATACAAATACCAAATAAGTTGTAACATTTACCTAGTCCAGATAACTAATTATTTAGCTAAAATTTATTTCAATATTACAATTAAAAAAGAAAATGTCTGGCTGCGGTAACGTTTCAAACGTTACCCCAGCAGGAACTGTTTTTTTGAAATAACTAAAAAAGTTTAAGTGAAACAAATTTAAAAATGTGCCTAACAATTACAGAAGGGGAGCAACTAATTATCTATAAAGTTTAAATGACCATTTTCGACATTATTTTGCTGGGGTAACGCACACACCAAATTTCAAGTCTTTATCTCTAATGGTTCCAGAGATATCGTGATGAGTGACTATATACGTGGAAATCTCTTATAATAGGTATTTACCTATGAAATTGCCGTTTTGTTTGCAATAAGTGAAAGTACTTATTTTTTCAAACTTTTTTATTTCTGTTATTCGAAGTAATCACCCATGCAATCGACGCATCTTTGACAACGCATTGGCAGTTTATTGATGCCCTTCTTGTAAAAATCAGCTGGACGGGAGGCAACAAACTCTTCAAAGGCATTTTGTACTGCCTCTCGAGAATCTAATTTTTTACCTATTAAAAAGTTGTCTAAATTTTGGAAAAAGTAATAGTAGGTGCAAGGTCTACGTTACGTTACGTTATTAACATGATAAATTACGTAACACTAGATAACTATATTTGTCATTATTAGAAATTGCCAAATATTTTCTACTTTTTAAACTAAATTGAACCAAAATCATAGGAACTGGCCTGAAAAATTATAGGACTAATAAGAGGAACTGATTAAACCTAACTGTGAACTACTGTATTATATTCCTAGTGGCCTAATGAATTAGTTGATGTTTTTATTGTTTATTACGTAAGATTGAGAAATACAAAATGCTGTTAAATTCTCCATATTTATTTAAATTAAAAGACCCAGTTCATACATAATCTATACACTAAAAGGGTCCAGTAACTTCTCAACAATTCATTAAATGAAGATGAAATGCAAGAAAAGTTTACAAGTTGGAGAAATATACAACACAGCATATAAAAAAAGTGTTTCCTAAATACTAAGGAATAATAACTTTGATGTACAATAACATTTCCATCTTTACTACAATAGTGACATTTTACTACTTCCCATTAATGGACAAATCAGTGATCAACTTCATAATGCTAACAATGTATGGGTAAAATTCATCTTACATTTTAATGACACTCTTAGTGTACTTAGGATCTATTGAGCCAAGCAATAACTTTAATCAGCAAGTAAGCGATTCCAATTGCATATGCAATCTTCTCTTTTTGTTGTCTCTGCAATTGTTCTGCTTCTATTGACATGACTCGTCGGTTCAATTTAACGATTTGACGTCGAAGGTGCACCAACTCCTCAGCTGAAGATAAACCTTCACCGCTACCCATTGGAGGAGTGGGGTCTCTGTGAACAAAAGCATAAATAACTTGCATGTGACAACCTCTGACCTGCAAATTTAATAATGACACTTAGCTTATTTATTGAAGTTATCTAAATCTTGTTGTCTTTTATGTATGTACCTAATATGTAACGATGATAGCAAACCGTAGGAAAGTTATGTTTATTTTTCGTTTTTGCTAAGTTCCCGGTGCTACATTGATAGAACAGTGTACGTGTGTGCTGTGTACACGTATAGCACATCACGTAAAAGGCGTCATGATATTCATAAATAGTACCCTGTACTATGCAGAGCTGCGTGAGTTGAACAACTTTAGCACATGTGTACTCTGTAGAAGTATATCACATCCCGTAGTGTGCGTTACCCCAGCAAAATAATGTCGAAAATGGTCATTTAAACTTTATAGATAATTAGTTGCTCCCCTTCTGTAATTGTTAGGCACATTTTTAAATTTGTTTCACTTACACATTTTTAAATTTGTTTCACTTAAAGTTCAAGTGAAACAAATTTAAAAATGTACGGCCGGATACTTCGATACTCAAGGGAATCAAAATTTAAAGGATAGTTTCCGTTGACCTAAAACTATTAAATTTGGCAAGTAACATCGTCTTATACTACAAGTACAGGGAAAAATCTGAAAACTATACATTTGTAAACAAATCTTCAAAAATCTTGTCTTTATCTAAAGTACGTAATCAATCGTTTTTACCTTTTTTAGAATATTCAAACAGAAATTTCGATATACACGGTGATTTTATAGGCGTTTTGGAAACGAAACATTTTAATTTGGAATCATCTATAGTACCAATAAAAATGGTTAAATCAATTGTAATGTTGACTAAAAAAAAGTTTCAGTTTTAATATTCATTTTTACTCGATCGACTTGGAAAGTAGTAATGGACTGATCATTCATTCATTATCTTATATGAATGAAAGACGTTCGTGCGCGTTTCGGCGGCCGCTGCGCACCGCTGACGCTAACAGCAGCTGATAAAAGTATACATATAGGCGCGAGCTAGCGAGTACTTACGTAGATAGTCCGTACTCCAGTTTGTCCTTCATACTTTACACGGGCTTAGGACCGTCGGAAATGCCTATTTTATTTAAACTTCTTTTCGATTATTAACCTCGATTGTTCTTTTCACAACAAATCAACTTATCAACGGACTGTAAGTATAAATATTTCAGGCGTATTTAAAAAATCGGAGCTATCTACAGAATAATTAACTTACATACCTATTTACAGTTTATTTACACTTCTCTGTATCGAAGCAACTGCTCAAAACGGAGTTCGCTGCGTTCTATACACAAACGTCCACGTTTAATGCAATTGTTTTTTCACTTTACACTTTATCAAAAGCGTCCACTATCGCAATGCGTAAATCATCACGGCTTTCATATTCCCGTGTATAAACAAGTCTTTATTTCCGACCATAAGAAAAAATCCAGGGGCGTTAAGTCCGGGCTTCTAGTTGGCCAAGGCATAGGCCCTCCTCGACCTATGCACCGATCACTGAACTCATTGTCCAGGTATGCACGCACTACACTCGCGTAATGAGCGGGACAGCCGTCGTGTTGGTAATACATACCTCTCGAGTGAGCTAACGGCACATCGTCTACTAACTCAGATATTACTGTCCTTAAAATCTCTAAGTACGAGTTGCCGGTTAGATGACCTTCAATAAAAATAGGCCCTATTAATTGGTCGTTAATAATACCGGCCCAAACGTTTACACTGAAACGAACCTGGTGATGGTTTTCTCGTATCAAGTGGGGGTTAATTAGAGCCCAGTAATGCTCATTGTGCACATTGTATAGTCCCACTTGAGTAAACAGTGACTCGTCCGTCCAGAGTATGTTGGCGTTTGTATTATTTAACAACCACTGGCAAAAGGCGATTCTTGCCGGTGCGTCAGTGTTGTTTATTACGTGACCCTTACGAAAATGATACGGATTTAATCCTTGTGTACGTAATATCTTCCATACGAAGTTTTGGCTAACATCGAATTCTCGTGCTGCCATCCTTGTGCTCCGCCGGGGATCGCGCTCGAAGTACTCAAGAACATCTTCTTCAAACTCCGGCGAATAATAATTTAAACGTCCTTGACCTTGCGCATGAGTAGGCGCTCGAAATTGTCCGTGGTCGAGAAGACGTTGGGTTGCAGCCAAGATGGTAGGTGTGGAGGGAATTTGAGGGCTTTCAATTCCACGTAGCCGTAGTGCATTTCAATGCTCCGGCTGGGAATACAAACGCCGAGCCTCTTCCAAGTTGTAGTTGGCAGTAGCGTACAGCTGTACCATTGCCAAGTACTCAGCGTTTGAAAATTCGTACTGTCGACTCATTTTAGCGCTAATCAATGTAGCGTGCCGTCACGATGTTATAGTATTACTGACCGACTGAAAGCGAAGGACGCCTCACGATTACAGATGAGTCCCGCGCATGCGCCTACGGGCAATGCCGTCATTGGTTGGACGACTCCGGCGCAGCTCGGTAGCTTTGTTTTTATTGGCGAATACGATTTTATGTGACTCGATATTAAAACGCATAGTATTTCTATTTGTAGTATTTACCTACGTGTGATTGAAAAGCCCTACTACTGGTTTTCACCTTTTCTCTGTAAACGATATGAATATCGACTTTGATGATAAAAAATAAATATATTTTATTAAACTAACGTTATATATAGCTTCTGTTACTGATAAATAATTTAAAAAAAAACGTGTATTTATACGTTAGCACAAGTATTTCATTGGCTGGTTTCTTTTTTAGTTTTTTCCAATAGATTATCCCTATTTTTGTGACACTAGGATACCCGACATCATCACCTGTTTAATATACTTTTCCTCATCGATGTCTTAATTATTTGAGTATTGTTTGCAATTAAAGAGCGGACTGTACTAAGAAAGAAATCCATAGCCTCGTTTGTATTATCAATCGAAACATTTTTAAAAAGTGTCTTGGTCTTGTCAAACTCGTGCTGGGCGCACGAGTTTTTGGCGATCTTCTGCATTACAAAGCACTGAATCCGCAATATCAAAATTGACAATTTCGTTTTGTATATCAGTTAGTTGCTTATATTGATTTCCGGCTTTTCGCATTAAGCTCCTGCCAGCCATCTTGCGCAAATCGTCACTCCACCTGGCGTCTTACACTACGTTCGCCAAGACGCGGTCTCCACTCAAGAAATCGTTTTCCCCAACGTCGTTGTTGACGAATCGTTTTGTCGGTTCTAAGGCTAATATGGCCAGCCCACTACCACTTGCTATGTCGGTGACCTTGGTTCTCTGCCGGATCACCTCATTCCTGATGCGATCCCTTAGAAAAACGCCGGGCATAGCCCTTTCTATGGCACGTTTAGCGACTTTGAACTTGTGGACCAGCCGTACCGTAAGTGTTCACGTTTCGGCTCCGTATGTCATGACGGGTAGGATGCACTCATTGAAGACTTTCGTCTTAAGGCACTGTGGGATTGACGATGAGAAGACTCAACGCAGCTTCACGAACGCTGCCCAACCTACCTGAATTCTTCTGTTCACCTCGTCTTCGAAGTTGTTTATACCTAACTGCAATGTCTGCCCGAGGTACACATAATTTTGGACAACTTCTAAAACGGCACCGTGTACCGCAATCGGTTCCGGTAGTACATGTTCGTTGAACATGACCTTGGTTTTATCCAAGTTCATCCGTAGGCCGATGCCTACAAAAGAGTTAGCTAGGACTTTCAGCATTTGCTGTAGGTCCTGCAAAGTCTCTGCCATGATGACGATTTCGTCTGCAAATCGCAAGTAAGAGATGTATTCGCCATTGATATTGATGCCACGCCCTTTCCAGTGCAGCGATGTCCTCCATTGCATTTGTGAACAATCACGGGGAAATAACGTCCCCTTGTCTCACTCCTCGATGCAACGGTGTGCGCCTTGTTTGCTGATTCTGTACTTGGACGGACATGGTGGCGGCTTCGTAGAGACACTTTATCACTTGGATGTATCGCCAATCTACTTGGCAACGCTGCAGGGACTCCAAAACAGACCAGATCTCGATCGAGTCAAAGGCTTTCTCATAGTTAACGGATGCTAGACACAGGGGATGATTAGATTCTTCGGTCTTCTGTATAATCTGCCGCACTGTGTGGATGTGGTCTATGGTGTCATATCCGCTTCGAAACCCACCTTGCTCCTTGCTCCGGGCGGGGTTGGGTGTGCTCCAATAGGCCAAGATCGCCTGGAGCAGATCCAATCCTGGTACGCCCTCCTGTCCGGAGGGCGTGCACGGCGAATGGTCATGGGGGAGAGCGCAACAGTCGTGTAGATCCCCATGGCAAGTCTGGGTGTCATCCTTCCCGTGGTTGCCGCCTGTTTTAGGTCTGATTCCCTACGAAACAGATATAACAGAAACACCCAGACGCAATTCCATCCCACAAAACCTATCCTTTCCCATTTCCTATCCCATCCACACCTACTGCGGACACTAAGTGGTTGGTGCCTGCGGCCTCACTATCAACAAAGACTGAGAGTGAGGGGGAGGGGGGGCAACCACCCGCATGTTTGTGCCGTGTGCGGGGACCCGTAAGGGAGGATGAAGGGATCCTGGTAGTTGAGCTGAAAGGCAACACACTGCTTCGGCCTGGATTTCTCTTTACACGGGAGGCTGAAGGCTAGCCACCTTTGGTCAATCGGCTGTAGTATCCCGTCAGAGGGCTGCTGGGCGAGAGCTCTTCCTTGGTGGGGGTGGACGACGGGTGGGACGACCAAGTCTTCCTACCTAGTTCGGCCTGCCTTCTGCCAGGGAGGGAGCTCTATATTTCCTTGTTACTTCTGGCGTCGTGTGCCTTCTGCCGCGGCGTCCCCACTTGAGGGCTCCAAGGAGGGTGGAAGGACAAGGAGATGAATAGTATACCAAACACATCATGGATACTAAAAACACACGTACAAAAAAAACCACCAAGCCGGCACCGAGGGTGAACAACCCAAGTGCCAGGCTAAACTACCAACCGGCTGACCCCAG